CTGAGTGGGCAGTGGGGAACCTGGGGGGGGGATCACAGCAGGCTGAGTGGGCAGCGGGGAGCCTGGTGGGGATCACAGCTGGCTGAGTGGGCAGCGGGAACCTGGCGGGCATCACAGCTGGCTGAGTGGGCAGTGGGGACCTGGCGGGCATCACAGCAGCCTGAGTGGGCAGCGGGGACTTGGCGGGGATCACCAGCAGCCCGACGGCAGGTGTTTACTTGTTTCTAAGCGATTATTGGCGTGAGTAGGTCACCCTGCCACTGCTGACAGGGTGAAAACGGATTCTCTTTTCTTTCCCTAATCACTTTTTTCTTCTCTCTGGAGGTAACCACTTGTTTGTAAATAAAAAACAACTCAAATTGTGTTTTTTTCCTATTCTCCCACACACCAATTAACACAGAAGACTCGTAAGATCAAATGTGTGGGTTCCCCCCCACGTATTAAGTAAGCAATCAGGTCAGCAGCAGACCCAGCTGGGGTCCTCCTGTTGAATTCTGACACTGTCTACCTGCCCCCAAACCCCATGCAGACACTGAATAGGGCTAAGTCTGGGCCGCCAGCACTTCTGACCTACCAGCTTCAAGCTGGGGTTGCCATGACCTCCTTTTAATTTTTTTACTTACAGTAGAACCTCTGGAAGGTGGTTCTGTTAACAAACTGGTCAACATATGGAGTTGGTCAACATGAGGAACTAGGCCTCTTGTCCTGATACGTAGATGTGGTGCATGTCCGGTCTGTGAAAATTAGGCCAACTTAAGGAGGTGGCTGGTTAGGGTGGTGAACTGTGGACGGTCTACTGGGTTTTCTACTTCAGCGTATTACGGGAGTGTACATGTTTTGGTCACATGCTTTGCTTTGTATACGTATGGCTGGAGGAAGCTGCAAAAAAGATGTCAGCCAGTCACTGTGGACACGAGCAGATATCACAGAACCGTCAGATCCAAGTATCAGTCCAAAAAGGTTTATTTCAATGATTTGTAAAAGAAATGTTGCCATAACAACTTCAAGCTATTTACAAATTAAAAAATTTATATAACTGTATTCACATCATATTACAGTAAACAGTTTCAATTAAAATGTTTCAGGTAGTGTTGAACAAACGCAACAAAACATAAATCAAGTTTTAAATCACATAGATGCCCGTAGCATGCTTAGAAACCACTGGAAGACGGTCAGGAAAACAAGTGGGAAAGTATTGGGAAGCAGCCATGAAATGATCGCCCACTGGGCCTGGGTGAGGCGGCCTTCCAAAGGTACTTTAAACTGTAACCAGAAGCTGACAGGAAGACTGACAGGACATAGAGAAAAACATTTAAGAAATTCTTGTATGGCTTAATAGAACCCCAAATTTATATACTCTGATCTGTGTAAAAGCAGTTTTAAACAAAGATGCTGTTGTCTGTTATCTCAGCGGGTACAGGCCTGTCCGTGTCCTGCTGTGCTGGGAGGGGAAGGAGCTGTGTGTCCCCCGCGCTTCTCATTAACAGTCCCAGGAGGCGAATGCCGTCCAGAGATGTGACACTCAGCCTGGGCGCTCTGTCCCTGAATCCAGGGAGGGAATGCTTCCCTCAGTCCAGTCCCCAGGCCAAGCTACACAGGGGCTGGCAGCTCCATGGAGAGGGGCTGAAGTTGGAAATCTACGCGTCGCAGAGAGCTGATACGTAATACTTACCAGGAAAGAGGACACAACCAGGTGCTTACTAGTGATACCTGAGAATTATTATCTGGTTTAATTAAGCAAAAATATTGGGAGTCCATTTCAGCTCATTCCCATAAATAAGGCTGTTAAAAATAACCAGGCCTCCCTCCTTCATCCTGCCTAGCAGCCGGGTACGTGAGCCTGAAGTATAAGTTCCTGCATATATTACTCATAATTAAATATAGTTTATTTTACTAATCTGGCAACAAGTGACATTTCATGATTACAAGCTTTAAAAATTTCATACAAGTACAATTTTTTAAAATACACAACACTTACACACTAAAGTCTCAAAGGCACTTCTAGGATACATGATGGATAACAATACATTCACAGATGCAGCATCAGTGATTGGTTCCTTCAGTTTCTGTGTCCGTGGTGATCGTCGAGGGCCCAGTTCTGCACTTCCCCTTTGGCGAATAGTGAAAAGAAAA